GACACAAGTGTAGACGACAACGTGTGGCAATAGGTCGAGCAATAGAAGATAAACTCGAACCTGTATCAACCAACACGGAGAGAAAAATAGGAGAGCTCTTGTTATAAAAACGAGCTTGGAAAGTAAACACTGGATGAACCGGTGCCGAGTGAACCCCTTGATGATACTCCCGAAAGAAAGATGGAAGGGTCACTAACTTATTCGCGCAAGATCCCTCCATTACTCGCGTGACTCCTCATTTCCCGGATGCACCTTGGTATCCAAACCTTCCACCGCAGCAGCACCAACGGGACGTTGCTGACGCCAAGGTCTCCACCCAGGAAATGGAGGTCGCCAATCCGAAAAGCGCCTACAATGCCGATAAGTATGACCAACTTCATCACACGCCCAGCAACGAACATTATGGCCACAACCACATCCTCGCCCTTGTCCTTGGACTCGAGTAGCAGCAGCATCAACCTCCATTGGAACAGGACCATCACTCATAGGAAGTGGAGCGGAAGGACGTGCAGCGAAAAGTGGAAGAGGCGACATCTCATAACGTTGTGCCAAGCGAAGAGCATCGTCAAGGGTGGCAGGAGCAAGTGCATGCACAAGGCCGGCAAGATCTTGACGAAGTGCTGGCCACAACATTCCTAGCTTGATCCGCTCCGACATATTTGGCTCCGCACGAAGCAAAAGACTTCGAAAACGAATGCCAAATTGCATCACCGACTCAGATGGCCCTTGGCGAAGACGATGCAATTGTTGGAAGGCATCATCACAATCGTCGGCGTGTCCAAAGGCGCGTTTGAAGACGTCCGGAAGAACACTCCAATCGCCACGAGTGGCTGCGCTCAATCCATTGTACCATTGCAATGCTGTCCCTTGGAGACATGTGGGGAACTCACGCAAATGTCGAGCATCATCCCAAGAATGATATGTGGCAACCACCGTGAAGTGATCGAACCAATGGTACACATCATCCCCAGGATTCCCACGAAAGAACTCCGGCCGAACACGAGGATTGGCACTAAGAGCAGGAGGAGTTGTACCATGTGCCGTGAACGATGCCATCAACTGAGTTTGGTTGTTCAATTGCAAGCGCATAGCATCAAGCAATTGAACCAACTATTGCTCTAGACTCAAAGGAAGAGATGGCGGATCGGCCATGAAGATGAACGCAAACGAAAGAGCAAAAGAAGAGAAATAACAAAAAGCTGAAAAGAAATAGTAGATCTAGACAATGCAAAAAGCTAGATCTAAACCAAAATCCTGAAAGGAAAGAACAAAAGAAAGGAACTGGAAAAAGCTAAATCTAGACAATGCAAAAGCTAGATCTAAACTGAAATCCCAAATCCAAGCACTCCCTAGGGACAATCAAAGGTGCCCCTCAACTCCACCAATGTGAGTACTTGGAATATGGAAAGGGAATACAGAAATGTGCATATCAATTAGCCCAAAAACCCTAGCTTATATACAGGAGCGAGTGGTCCGGATTGAAACCAATCCGACAGCTACCAAAACCCCACTACGCTAATATTAGTATACGGCATCGTAGCTGTACACTTGGCCCTCACATAGAGAATTATGAAATTATTAAGTTCGCCATAACCTTAAAATTTTAAAGTTTATAATGTTTGTACTAAATTACAATTGAAAATTGAGCTCAACTCGTGAGCTCAAATATGGTCCATGCCCCTGGGATTGAATGCCATGATCAAAAGCTCATCCTCTTGCTTGAGGATCACTGTGGCTCTTCATCCAACCCCTGTGCAAAGTGATCATTGTAGAATTTGGCATTAGAGATGAGATCCCTCATTTTGAAGTTTTAAATATATGACTTTGAAATTGTTCATTGCTTAAAGAGTTATATGGTTGATGCTAATGCTTTTTTTCAAGCTCTTCTCCCTTCTTTGCTATCTTTTTATGTTTATTACGAGTTTGTTTTTATAATATTTATGGATTTTTTAGATGAGGATTTCATGTTGTTAGTGGTTGTTATATTTGATGTTCAGTGTTCATAAAGTGTAAAGCAAAATTTACCTTCTCTTGATGAGGTTCATGAGGCTCAAAAAGTTAAGCCACATATCTAAAAGCATTGCAATAGATTTGAGAATTTTACATCATTTGTTGATGACTTGCCATTTCAGCATTTACATTCTCAATATTGCTTTAAGAATAATTATTTTTATTTTGAGAGGACAAATCCTGATAATCATTTACTGCTAATCAAACCTTCAATATTTATTCCACCCTTTTTCCACACCTACCATGATTCTTCTATTCTACGTAAATATATAAGACATCATTGTATGACTGAGAAGTTGCATAAATTCTTTTATTGGCTAGAAATGTCAACCACAAACTATAAAATTTGACAATTGAAGTAGCAATCATCAATAGAGTAAGAGACAAATTTTACAGTTGAAGTGGCGATCATCAATAGAGTAAGAGGCGGCAATAGTGTTGCTTATCCCTGGCCTGGACAACAATGCCACTTACTAATGCCTCCTGCAAGTGTCACTCTCATCCCATGAGCAGATGTACCAAGTGAGCTGAGCATGGAGGAATCTCATCTCCAGTGCCAAGTTCTATGATGATCACTCCACCCAGGGATTGGACAAGGAATTGCTTGTTGCCACGGTGTTGCTTAGGGACGAGCTTTCAATCATTGCGTTCAATCCAGTAGTGAATGGATGATATTACCTCCTCCTCCTTGTAGGGCTTCATGCTCGACACCAGGAGAGGATTCAAGTGCAGGGCCATCGGCAGCAAGCTCTATCTTCTTGGGAGATGGGGCCGCAACAAATCAGTGAGCATCTTCAATGCACACACAAATTGATGGAGCATCACGGCGCCAATGCTGCATCGACGAAAGTGCTATGTGTCCGCGGCTATGGAGGGTCAGCTCTACATCGTGGGTGGCAACAGTATGGGGGAGGAACCAGATGCTGAGGTATACAAACCAGTGGAGGATCGATGGGATCCTCTCCCCCTTCCACCATCGCTGGAAAACAGATTTCACAACGCCCTCCTCGTCGATGACAGCAAGATGGTTGTGACCTTGTGCTGTGGTGGCCCGACGTTTGTTTTCTCAGCTCGAGATCTTTCCTGGGAAGTGGCGGACCTCCTTGGATTGCAGGAGCGGCACTGCTGCTTTGTGCACTCCAACCAGATGTACAAGTTTGACAAGGCGGGATCATTGTTGTTGAGATACGACAATGGCAAGAAGTCGTGGGAGGCAAGACCACGTCACGTTTTTATGTGAAAACATGCAGTCACTGATCCTTCTATTGACTTTTTTGATACGATCTTTCTCTGAAATTCGGGGAATGTGATCAATTGAGATCACATTTCTGAGGTAAATCAGAACACCTTTTTGACTTGTATATGAATCTTTCCGGCTTGGAGGGTTTTTGACTTCGAGGTCATGATGGAGGAAGAGGGCTACAGGTCGCAAATGACAACGGGCAGCTTGATTCCGCTGCTGCAGAAGGCCCTTTTGCAACACCAAGTAAGAATTGAACCACTTCCAGTTGCGGCTCCTGTTTTGCAGCTGGACGATCCTGCGCTGAGTTACCTTTCCAAGATGCTTTTAGGCGGGGATAGTGATAGTGACGAGCAGGAGGTTGCAACCCCGCAGCAGAACAGATACCAGGCTTACATGGACGACCTGAATTCCATCATAAGAGGTTGCGTCCAGTCTCCGGACAGTGATCAAGAACAGGTCGACCAGGAAGTATTTAGCTTGCTCAGAGAGTGCGCAAGAGCAGTAGCAGCCAGGAACTCGGCACAGGTTTACAATCTCATCGGATTGATCAAGAACTCAGTGACATCCGAAAACAGCCACTTAGAAAGGACCGCATTGTTCTTCGTCAACGCACTGGTAGCAAGGCTTAAAGGGTGTGGTTCACAGCTCTACTCGGCTCTGTCCAGAGAGGTTTCTCAGAAGCGCTACGTGGGGCTTTTGTGCATGAACCTCCCGTGGTTCAGCGCCACCGAGGTGATCTCGAATCACATAATTCTCGAGGCGTGCAAGGGAGCCAAGCGGATTCATATTGTGGACTACGGGATACTGTATGGCAGTCAGTGGCCGTGGCTTATCCGAGCTTTATCTCAGCAACCCGAGGGAGCTCCACTGCTGAGGATGACAGGAATCGACTCGTCTGGGATGATAGATGGTGCACAGATTGGGAAGCATTTACTCGAGTTCGCAGAATTGTGTGGGATTCCGTTTGAGTTTAACTACATCACTGCAGACTCTTGGGAGCTCGCACAGCCGCAGTGCAACAGCTTGAACGAGTTTGTGGTCATCAACACAAACAGGAGACTGCGATTCTTGAGGGACGACTCCACCGCAGCAAACAATCCAAGGAAGGTGTTCTTCGATCGCATGCTCAAGCTCCAGCCGGCATTGTTGATCCAGTCTCTGCAAAGCGCCGACCCCAACGTCTCATCCCCGTTCTTCGTCCAGCGCTTTGAGGCGACACTTGCGTACTATGCCAACATTCTAAACGGTTTTGGAGAGGTTCTTAAGGATCATCCGCAAGAGCTTGGCTTCGCAAGAAAGTTTGTGGAGAGGAGCATCATGAATGTGGTGGCCTGTGAAGGGGTGGATCGAGTGGAACGGCCGGGGCCATACTACTACTGGGATTCGACGGCAAAGAAAGCTGGATTCGAGCAGCTGCCTCTGAGCGACCAAGTTATCGAGACAGCCAGGCTGATCTGGAGAGGCGAGAAGTTTAGCTTGTACAGGGATGGGCACTGGTTGCTACTGGCATGGAAGGACGCCCTGGCGTTTGGGATTTGTGCATGGAAACCTGGCGTGAAGCCGAGAAATTCGTACAGCGCCAAGAGTTCAAAAAGATACCACTTCTAAAAGCTCTTGCACTCGTGCGTGTTGACTAAGAAGTGGCTGAAATTTGACTAGCAGCCAGCACTCTCTTCTCCCTATCATCTCTTACTTATCTTCTTTCCAGAGTGGTTTAGGCCTAGTAATCTTCTGTTGTTGCTGTCAATAAAGACACATTCTTCAGTTCCATATCCTGCCTGCATTGTGAAAGGAACAAATCATGCTTGCCTGTTGGTTCAAACTCCCTCCATTGTTGTCATAAAGGTTGGATACAGTGATCCCTCTCCATGGCCCAGTCAAAGTCAATGAACCTAACATTGTTGTCATGCATGTTGCTATGCACGTCATATGTAGCCTGCTTGTCTCGCCAACTTTCACCCCGTGAGCAGCCTTCAGACACGCCACCCTCTGACCCCAGAGTGTTTCCGCATCCCTAAGGCCATAAAGAAGCTCCCAGCCTGTCTTACTATCCAGGTACTCCATTTCCACCTCCAGCCAGGTTGTGGGGTGTGTAGCCGGCATCAGCCCACATTTGTGCATACCCGTACTGTTGAACATACTTGACCGCAAACTTCTCACTGCTTGCCATGTCCTTGGCAAGATAAACTAGCTTACTGGGATGGATAATTTCCTCTGTTACCCCAGGATTTACACACTCGAAGAAAGGATATAGGATGCATTTCTCATTCAGGGCCACCAAACTGCGATTTAGACATTGGGCTGCACTATCTAATTGTTGGTGATACTGCTGCAGCCTGAGAATTGCCTGCTTCATGGCTGCACAAACAACAGCTCCCTGCACCACTATATGCTGATCATAAGCTTGAATGGGTGTGAGAAGGAGCGATGTTAGACCTTGCAGAGCCACAGCAGTATCAATTTGCATTAATTAACCCTTTCCTTTTATATTTAAACTTTTATAGATTATCTTTCAACATGTTTCTCTTTGATATCAAATGTAAGTTCTTAAATTTGGACTTCTTAGGAAGTCACCCAAATTAGTACTATTCAAACCCAAGAACAAACCCTAAATATCCCAAAATCCTTAATTGATTAAAAAAAGATATGCACTTTTATCCATAGGCCCTTTCCTTTTATATTTAAATCTTTATAAATCATCTTTTATAATTCACAATAACCAAAATAGTATCATTTTTTTGAAAGGTTTTGGGCAAACCAATGATAAAGTCCATCTAGATGCTATCTCACTTGTTCTTATGTACATGTAGAGGATGATAGAGGCCAACAAGCTTTTGATGATTAACTTTGATTATTTGGCAGGTACATACTTCTCAACATCTAACTTTATCCTAGGCAAAAAAAAAAGGCCTCTTCACCAATATATACATTCTTAGTATCCTCAGATACCTAGCACTTGGCACTCATGACACAACCAAAATTTATTTAATAAGTTTGTCAACACAAGGAACCACTATATATCCCTTCTTCACTAAAATTCCATTTTATATCATGAATAATGCAAATTTGTCACCCTTCAAATTTGTAAAGACATCCCTCAAAAAAACCTTCACACGAGTATCATTGATAAAGGAGTTGAAGTCAATAAACTCCTTAATCTCACCCAAGAGATCACTAGATATCTTCATGAATGAGATAGAATTTATTATTCTAGATAATGCATCAACCACCTTATTATTGCTTCTATACGTGTACTGGATTGTAATAAACATTTTCTCCAAAAACTCTTGCCAATGAGTAAAGTGGCCTTGAAGGTCCTTTTGATGATTGAAATACTAGAGAGACTGATGGTTTGAATCCACATTAATTGTTATACTGATAAATGTAGAATTAATATAAATAAAAATTGTGTTGAAGATTTAGTAATTTTTAAACCTTTTCACTATTTTAGTGGAAGTCTATAGCACACATGGTTTTTACCCTTTATCTTATGGTGATTTACCATATGATAACTATAAAGCAGAACCTAAACCCTCCATGTGCCACATGTTATATGCCATGTGTCATATGCCACGTGTCCAAAGGACAATGGTGTGGAACCCGAGTTTCAAGACCCCACTGAATAAAGGAACAGTGCCAAACTCCCAAGCATGGAGTCAAGGAGTGATGGCACTCGAGCACAGAACGACTCTTGAGTATATAGCCCAAGAAGTGAAAGGACAAAAACACAAAGCAACTTGGAACAATCCTAAAGTATCTAACATCCCAATGTTAAGACTGACACGCAAAATGGAGCCAAACAAAGTTTGGCATTATTTCAACATACCGGTGGCCTAACATAAAGATATAGATACTTCACTAGCTAGCATGGAATGAAACTTGGGTTTAGACCCAAGTTGAATGCCAAACAAGGACAGGCATGCAAGTGGAAGCTAAACTATATCTTAGGTTGATCAACCATATTTGACCTACCCACTATCCCTACTATACATTTGGAACCCCCTATAGCCCCCTCCCCCTTCCCCTTGAAGAACACACACTTTGGGCTTTCACCCCAAGCCTCCATTAGTATCAGGAGTTAGTCTCTGGGACAAGTTTGAAACTTATTAAATATGAAATGTCCCTAAATTGCAAATTTGGACATGGGATGAACATTATTGTGTGTCAAGACAATTTCTACATTTCGTAAATATGCTAAATGAGAAAATCTAGACACTTTTCATAAATAGCATTTGGGATTGAAATGAGACTAACACAAAGGGCATGATAGTAAGGGTGTTTGGCAAACACGGTAAGCTATCATCCAGTGATATTAAGGGACTAATCTCAATACACGAGAGTTCTTGTCACTAGCCAGTGCAAGATACAACAAGACGGGAACTCCTTATTGGGCTAAGTATGCTTAGTTAATAGCATGTAGGAATTCTATCCTTATACTTGTTTGGTCTAAGTACACTCGAAATGCCCAATTAACTCCACTAGCATAAGAGGCACAAGGGTCCAGCATACCAACCTTCTACTGTCGTGGCAATAAGGAAAAAGTGTCCATAATGACTAGCCAATAAGTAACTTTCAATATCCAAAGCCATATTTGCGACACTCTCCCCCCCTTAGGGAAGATTAATGTCCTTGTTGATGCATACTCGAGTCTAGACCACAAGCAAGGAAAAAACTCTAAAAAAAGATCACAGTGATCACACTATTATAAGTGACTAATTTTTCCATTCTACTTTAGTCACTTAACCACACCTTCGACTGCTTGGAGGAGTCTCATTCACAACCTCCTTAAGTCCAATTCAGGACTTGGGGCTTGCTAGCCCAAGAATGGCATCCATGCCACTCATTGCTTGCACTTAGTCCAAGTGCTCCACGTGTCCGGTCCCAAGACCGACACCCCAAGGTACCACGGACATACTAGCCCGTTACGCTAAGGCCATGCCCCTTTACCTTTGCCGCACTAGTGGTCCAATACCACTTGCATCACAATCCCGTCTCCCCAAGACTGGGCCATCTGTCCACGAGTGGTCATCCTAGATCCACTCCTTAGCATCCTTAGGATGCCCACAGACCTGGGGGATTGCCTTCCCCAAAGTCCCTTTGTCAGTTCCTACCAAGTCCCTTTCTGCCCCTGGCCGTGTTTGCCAACACTGCCACTGGATCGAGGCCCACAGGCCCGACCCCTAAGTCCCACGATCCTCTGGGACTTCCTCACCACACGACTGTGTCCTTGGTCACTACCCCAGAGGACTGCTCCTCTTCCTTTCCACAGTCTGGGCCTTTGGGACAACCTTTCGGAACACCGTGGCCTTACGCGAGCCACCTGGGTACTCTCCCCACCTATCGCCTTTAGGTGCTCTAGCCATGGGCTTAGAGCGAGGTTCCGTCGAGCCATGCCTGGTATCCAAGTAGGTAGTGCCACCCACACTTGGACTGGGAGCATCGGCCAGTCAATCTCCCGGGGGAACTAGAGCCGGCTCTTGAACACTTCACCAAGCTACCCCGCTTGTCGGTCCGTATTCACTCTAGTCTTGGACTTCCCAGTGGTCAGTTCATCACCCAACACTGGGTCTGGCCTTCCTGGGCCAAATTGGCCTTTCCTGGCCAAACTGGCTCCACTACAGTCCTCCCCCTACTATACTTTTGGAGCTCACCAAACCCCCCAGGGTCTGGGAGACGAACGCTTTGGGCTTTCACCCTCTCAGACTTGAACTCGGACTCGGACTCGGACTCGGACTCGGACTCGGGCTCGGGCTCGGTCTCAGCCTTGGCCTCGGTCCCGGTCTCGGTCCCGGTCTCGGTCTCAGTCTCGGTCCCGGTCTCGGTCTCGACCTCGGACTCCATCTCGGGTCCTTCTCGGACTCCATCTCGGACTCCATCTCAGGCTCCGTCTCGGTCCATCTCGGACTCCATCTCGGTCCATCTCGGACTCCGTCTCGGTCCACCTCGGACTCCATCTCGGACTCCATCTTGGGTCCATCTTGGACTCCATCTCGGACTCCATCTCGGTCCATCTCGGACTCCGTCTCAATCCATCTCGGACTCCATCTCGGGTCCATCTCGGACTCTGTCTCGGTCCACCTCGGACTCCATCTCGGACTCCATCTCGGTCCATCTCGGACTCCATCTCGGACTCCACTTCGGACTCCATATCGGACTCCACTTCAGGTCCATCTCGGACTCCAACTAGGGTCCGTCTCGGACTCCATCTCGGACACTTCCACGTGTCATGTGTTGGTCCTTTTTGGGTCCCTTTTTGGAGCCTTGCTTATTGCTCGCTTCGTGCTCGCTCCTTGAGCACTTTGTTGGGAGTTCCACTCCCGCTCTCGACCTTCTAAGTTAGAGCTTTTAGTCCAAACGTGTTACACTCGTTTGGGCTTTCGCTTCAGCCACTACCACGTGGCACCCTTTCCGGCTCCACTTTGGGGCCTAGGGATTTTGTGTCTCACAACTATGTGAGAAATGCACCAACTTAAATAAGTTAGAGTAACCTCTTTGTTTAATGCGGATGCACTACCAACTCAAACACCTTCTGGCTATCATTGACAAGGAAATGACCAACAGAGTTAGCCACCCTTGCTACTTTGGGTGTCACCCAGCTTACAAAAGTG